AGGAAGAGAATGGGAATGCCTGATATTATGATATCTTATAGTACATTAAGAACCAGTAATACCCAGTCCAAGCAACGAAGAATGATTAAAGGGTCATCTGAAGATTAGCTATGAGCTTTTTCTTAGATGATGATGTTTTGTACAAAAGAAGGCATGATCAGGTATTGCTGAGATACGTAAGTAAAGCTAAGGTAAAAAAAATCATTGAAGAGGTGTATGATGGAATATGTGGGACACATGTCAATGCATATATGATGGTAAGACAGATAATGAGAGCATGATATTATTGGTTGACAATGAAAAGTGATTACATTGACTATGCTCGTAAATGTCATAAATGCTAGAACTATGCTGACAAGATCCATGCTCCGTTATCTACTTTTCATGTTTTGGCACCACCCTGGTCATTCTCGATATGAAGTATGGATGTCATTGGTCCTATTACCCTAAAGGCTTTTAATGGGCATAGATTTATTTTCGTGATGATAGATTACTTCACGAAATGGGTGGAAATGACATCATATGTAAATGTTACACTATCTGTGATTTGTAAATTTATAACAAAAAGAGATCATTTACAGATATAAACTTTCAGAGAGAATCATTTTGAATAATGCTAAGAATCTAAATAGCAAGTTGATGCAAGAAATATGTGTCCAATACAAGATCAAGCACCATAACTTAGTACCATACCGTCTGAAAATGAATGAGACAGTTGAGGTAGCTAACAAAAATATAAAAAAAAATTTTGAGAAGATGATTGAAACTTATAAAGATTGGCATGAGAAGTTACCATTTGCACTGCATGTATATCGAATGTTAGTGCGTACCTCTACTGGAGTAAGTCCATTTTCTTTGGTTTACGGGATGAAAGCTGTATTGTCAATAGAAGTAAAAATCTCATCCTTGAAGATTCTGAAAGAAGTTAAACTAGAATAGGGTAAATGGGTTCGAAAGCGCTATGAACAATTAAATTTTATTGAGAAAAATAGGTTGACTGCATTGTGCCATAGTCAGCTATATCAAAAGAGGATGATGATGGCTCATGATAAAAAAGTTTGACCCCGTTGCTTTGGAGAAAGAGAGTTGGTCTTGAAAAGAATTCTTTCAAATCAGCACAATAATAAAAAAAAATAAACTCCAAGTTAGAAAGGGCCATATATGGTGAAATAAGTTTTCTCGGGTGGGGCATTGATACTGGCTGAGATGGATAGAAATGATTTACCCCATCCTATAAATTCTGATGCTATGAAAAAGTATTATGCTTGAAAAAAATTAAAAAAAAAAAGAAATGAAAAGGGAGGACTCAAGGCGAAAACCCTAAAAGGACGGTTTAAGTTATAAGGGATTTATCTAAGTTGAAAACCTAAAAAGGCAATTTAGATAAGGAGAATACAACATCAAATTTGAAAATTCATTGGCATTGAGGCTAGCAAATTCGGAGGAGCTCTAAGTTGTTAAGTGCATCAGATGGTTGGGTTTTCAGAAGAACTTTGAAATATGTTATCATGATTGTTTGATTGTTCATTTTTGGGCATTGTCTCCCCATACCTATCTTTGTAATTCCTTTTTGGCCAAAGTTTGCCAACTTTTTTTGCTAATAAAAGATATTCTTCTTCATTCTTTGTGTGCCTCTTTTGTTGATTATTTCCTAACTATTCTTATTATTTTCTCATTAATACCTTACAATGGAAGAAATGTGTGAATACATTCTTATTTTTTTATATCAAAATAATGATTGATAAATAAATAATAATATGAAAGATTTTTACATTACATTGTAAAGGTCAAGAGTGATAAAGGCAAATTTGAGATATTCAGTTCCTAATAAGGACATTGAATTTGGAAAGAGATTGCTTAGGATATGAGAATTAAATGAAAGAGATGATTGAAAGTTAAACTTACTTGATTTTTGAATAACAAAAGGTTCGAAGCCTAAAAAAAGAGCTTGAGAAACTTGAGTACCATAATTGAATATAATTAATTAGCCAATATTTGCATAGCACGCATTAAATTTCACACGCATTGCATAGCATATACTACATTCAATAAAGTATAGTGCATAAATTCAAAAAGCAGGAGTATTCTAGGATCCCACATAGAGAAGACAGATGTGAAGATTTTTTTTTTCTTAAATTTTCGTTTGAGAAAAAGCTTGTGAGGTAAGTTTTTAATCCTTAGAAAATGATATCTCTTGGTATCAAGAACAATTTGTAAAACCCTTTGGCATAATCTCTTATAGTTCCTTCAAACATGATTTTTGACTCCTCTGAATGTGATTGTCAAGGAGCCATTTATTTTTCAAAGTTGTGATGTCTCTTTTTAGAAGAGCAATTTATTTCTCAAAGTTCGTTGCCTCTGTTTAGAGGAGTTATTTATTTTTTCAAAGTTGTTGAGCCTCTATTTAGAGAAGCAATTTATTTTCAAAAGTTATGATGCCTCTGTTTAGAGGAGTTATTTATTTTTTCAAAGTTATTGAGCCTTTGTTTAGAGGAGCAATTTATTTTCAAAAGTTGTGATGCCTCTGTTTAGAGGAGCTTTGTTTATTTTTCCAAAGTCGTTGAGCTTTTGATTAGAGGAGCTTTGTTTATTTTTTCAAAGTCGTTGAGCCCAAAGTCGTTAAGCCTCTGATTAGAGGAACTTTGTTTATTTTTTTCAAAGTTGTTGAGCCTCTGATTAGATGAGCTTTGTTTATGTTTCTCAAAGTTGTTGAGCCTCTGCTTAGAGGAGCTTTAATCAAAATTTAACACAAAAAAAGAAAAAGCAAAAAAAAAAAAGGGTCGAGTGGAGTCTTGAATAGATGTCAACGTCTTTGCGTAATTTCTGTTTCACAGAAAATGTGCAAAGAAGGACAGCTGTAGACACTTAATTTGGTTTAGGCCTGGATCAATTTGGCCTAATCCAAATGGGTAAGCCCATACAAATAAAAATACAAATGGGTAAGCCCATTTGTATTTTTATTTGTATTTTTTATTTGTATTTATTCATTTATTATTACTATTATTATTTATTAATATATATTTTAATTATTTATCTGTTAACATATTTTATTATTTATCTATTAATATATTTTATTATTTATCAATTAATATATTTTTTTTTTATTTTATCTTTTTCTTGATCAATTTTCGGTTGGGAGATTAGAAAAAATTAGAATGAATTCTACCGTGAATATAGACTAGAGGAGTCTGGATTGGATTCAAATGCTTGAATCCAAATCCCAGATGGAGCTGAGATTGATCAGAAACTCTTCTGATCAATTCCTATAAATAGGTCCATAAATCACACAGAAAGGATAGACGAAAAAAAAAAAACATAAGATAGAGGTGAAAAGAAGCAAAAAAGTGTTTAGGGCCAGTTTAGAATTCTTACAAAAATTTTTCAAATTTTTTGGAATTTTTTTTTTGGAAATTTTCTAGAAATTTTCTAAAATCCGACGAAATTTTCTTGCCAAATTTAAGTTTTTTGGTGACTTTTTCAGCCAAAACCCAGATTTTGACGTACTTTTTCAGTTTTTGACATACTTTTTCAGTTTTCAGTTAAATATTCAACCAAAAATTAGGTTCTGTTTAGAGGGAATGAGGAGCAAAAGAATGGAAGAGAGAAAAAAAAGACGCTTTTGCTGAAAGGCTGAGCTTTTAGCCCTAAATACTTTACTAAAATTACGTCGTTTTGGTATTAGTAAACCTAGAGGATCCGTTCGTTTCTGCTTGGGTTGACCCGACCCGTAGCGCAACCTGCGCCTAACCCGAATCACCTATTCCCTATTGAACCGTTGAGCCAAGCCGAGCCATACCCCGAGCCGTTTCATTCCAGCCTTTTTTTGTGCCTCGAGCTGAGCTGATTCTAGCCACAGAGTTGAACCGCATTAAGGTTTTTTTTTCAATTTATTTATTTATTTATTTATTTATTATTATTATTACTATTTTCTAAATTAGAATTATTTGGTATTCCTTATTTTATTTTATTTTTATTTTATACATTTTTTTTATTTTCCTTAAAATTAAAGTTTCAAAAAAAATATTTTTAAGGGAAAGTTGAAAGTATCAATTTTTCTGAAAATAAAAAAAGGTTTTAAAAATATTTTTAGGGAAAATTGAAAGTATCAATTTCTCTTGAAAATAAAAAGGTTTAAAAAATATATTTTTAAGGCAAAATTGAAAGTGTCAATTTTTCTTGGAAGTAAAATTTTTAAAATAAATTTTTCGAAAAGTATTTTGAGAAAAAGTTAAAAGTATTAATTTTTCTTAAAATTAAAATTTCAAAAAAAACATTTTGAGAAAAAGTTGAAAGTATCAATTTTTCTTAAAAATAAAAATTATCAAAAAAAATATTTTAAGGAAAAGTTGAAAGTATTAATTTTTCTTGTACAAAAGCAATGAGTTTTTTTTACAAAAAAAATAGGGTTTATATCAAGAGTTGAATCATTATTTCTTTTTATTTTATTCTTTTTTTTCTTTCTTTTTAAAATTTTTTTTTTAATGTTAAATAATCTGACGATAGAGTCTCTGCAAGTGAAACAGTAGTTTTCTTGCATACTCTTGAGGTGAGAGAATTTTTTTAATTTTTTGCCAAAAGTATTGGAGTTAATTAAAAATAATTTTTAATAATTAATTACTTAATAAAATTTTTAAGGCTTATCGGATAACATAAAATTAAGTTGGTACCATCTTTCGATTGTCGTTGTAAAGGTGCTATAACATTTCTCACACGTAACCGAACTCTCGAACCCTGTTCTGGTTAATAGACCTGATCTTATTCTTTTAGGGACCTTTAGTCAAGCTTAGGTGTTCCTTGAAAGGATAGATTACTTAGATGGTCGATCGTACCTAAACAAAAAAAATTGGTAGCGACTCCTAAAATCAATAGCTAGCGATAAATCCTCATATCTAAACGTTATGACGGTAATTTTGAAGCAATATTTTTTCCTTTTTTTTTTTAATATAAATTCTATCTGATATGTAAAAATCTAATTGCATTCCTCCACTATGTGATGCCAGCATTCTTAATTCCCTACATGGCAATTCGGCTGAATGAAGCTGATGCAGATGGCACTCCTAGCAAGCGCTCTCCACTGGGCTCTGTGATGACAAATGGTGCAGCCATAGTGGGATTAGTTGGTGGGGCTGTATGTCTGTTATCTGCAATATGGGCTCTTTATGGTCGAATGAATGGTGACTTTGGGAGCATAACAGATAGATGGCAGTTCCTAGTAAGCTATTTGGGTTCAGAAAGGCTGGCTTATGCCTTCATTTGGGACATAGGTTTTTACTCAATCTTCCAGCCCTGGTTGATTGGTGGGAACCTACAAAATGTTCAGAAAAGCAAGGTAGGTCTTGTAAGTTATCTTAGATTTATCCCTGTTGTCGGCTTAGTTGCCTATCTTCTCTTTTTGGATCTTGAGGGGGAACAATAGTTTGATGCTGTACTGCAGTGATACGTTAAAAAAGAATTGAGTCTAGAAATACGTTAAAAGTCTTGAAGTAGGAAGAGGAGAAATTTGTAGCTCTGTTTGCTGTAAAAGAGAGCAAGCCATTTTTTGCTTTGATGAATTCTTGAACTGTTCACATAGGAGATGAAGCTTTTCTTGCATCTGTTTCTTGTTGCTGTTTAAATAATGCATGTTTGTATCTAAAAAAAAGTATAGTTTGGAACAAAAAATAATACTAATTGCCTCTAATTGTTTGCTTCTAAAAGAACTCTTATTTGGGTGGTGTATAATTATTGATTGATTTTAATCTATCACATGGTACCAACTACCAAGCCATTAGCAATTGTGGAAGTGGGACATGTAACTTGGCTGCGTTAGGCAGAGTGTATGTCGATAAGAAGTAGTAGCTGTTGAAGGTTCTGAAGGAGCAATTTTTTTTTTTTTCAGAATCTGATTAACGCGAAAGCATTCTCTCATTCATGCTGAGAGTGAAATTCTAGCAGCAATTACACCCCAGAGTTTTTTCTTTTGATCTGAGGATCCCAAAAATAGTTTAATTTATTTATAACTAAAATGTCTAACAGGCTATACCAGCACGGAATTGCTTCATTGCTGACACGAAACCTTTTCCTGCGCGCATTATATACTGTTACCTGATTAGGATAGAAGTGATGGTTTTGATACCAAAGGTTCAGAATTGAGACCCCACATCAGGTTTCACAACTCAGTTCAAGTCTTCAAGATAAAGAAATTTGCCAACAGTAAACTAAAGTATACAGAGTACAGAGGCATGTTCCGACAATGATTATAATTATTATTAACATGGAACAGAATAAAGAAAAGCAGCACGAATCTGATTGTTTGTTTCAGATCGGATTCAACTATTTTTTTTGGATGACAAAATTGACAATCCCTGTTAATCCTGGCATGAGTAATGACGAAAACAAATCTCGAAACCAAAAGAAAAACCTTCGCCATAAAGCAAACGAAAGATGAGTGGAGATAATGTGTTTTATCTTTCTAATCATTTATTCAACAAATGAATTTATGAACAAAAAAAAAGCCACTTTCTTGAATGATGTTAAGCATGAACCCAGAAAATCATTTCCCGTCGACTCATAAAAGTCCTTTGGAATGTGTTATATTATGCATTCAAGCTTAAACAGACAATGAAGAAACTAAAAATAGGGGAGACAATGGTTTTTTTGAGGTTCGACGGACTTTTCTCGAAGTCAACTAATTATTCCAATGTGTTTGTTTAATTGATATACCAAGTGGCCTGTGACGCGTGGAGAGAGTGATTTTGAACCTGATGATGCCATTCTCCTGCCACTCTACGACTCTTTACTATTTCTCCCTTTCCTCTTCAATCAAAACTGCCAACTACTTCTCAAGCTTCCATCCATACCATCCTCACATAAACAAACGACATCGTTTTGATCCCACTTCCCTTTCTCCATTGAATCCAGATGTATATACTCGTATGTTCTTCGAAATTTTAGTTATATCAATAACTTATTCTGATCTGGTACTCATCCTTCATAAGGTACGTTAAAAGAAGTTCAGTTTATGATAAAGGAAAAGACTTTTTGTGGATCACTGTTTCTGTTTTTTTTTTTTTTTTGTCTGTTGATGCAGAAATGGCAGGGAGGTCTTTTTTGCGGGGTTCTGAGAGTAAAGAAGGGCTGCTTCCAAGGAAAGGGTATTCGGAATTTGGATTGAACAGCTACGGTGATTGTGAGGATGGAGTTAAATGCAGGTGTTTTCGATCATGTTCTGATTCAATTGATAATTTTTGGAACGGTTTGCAAGAAACCTTTGTTAAGTTATATGAAATGGGTCGATCAGATCCTAGGAAGGTCTTTTTTGCTGCAAAAATGGGTTCCTCACTAGCAATTGTATCACTGCTTATATTTTTCAAAGAGCCTCTAAGGCATGTTAGTCAATACTCGATCTGGGCAATTCTTACTGTTGTCGTGGTTTTCGAATTCAGCGTAGGTATTTGCTTCAATATTCACGTCCCATTTCTGACAATTCAAATTTTCCACTAATTCATTTTTTTTTTAAATGGATCGTGGTAATGAAATCAATATCTCTATCGTAGGTGCAACACTTAACAAAGGATTCAATCGAGCTTTAGGGACTTTCTCCGCAGGAGCCCTTGCTTTAGGCATTGCAGAAGTATCAATAAAGTCTGGAAAGTTTGAAGAAGTTATTATTTTGATAAGCATTTTCATAGCAGGTTGAGTTCTAGGCTTCTAGCATTTAATAGTATCAACTGTAAATACACATGAACTTTCCTGTATAATGTATCTTCCTGCTCACATTATCATTCTGTTTATAACTCTTAAAAATTTTGTTCTGCTTTAGGATTTTGTGCAAGCTATTGCAAATTGTACCCTCCCATGAAGACATATGAATATGGTTTTCGGGTATTCTTGTTGACATTTTGTATTGTACTGGTATCTGGAAACAAGTCAAGAACCTTTTTCGACACTGCTTTTTATCGATTGTTGCTTATTGCGGTTGGTGCTGGCATTTGTTTGGTTGTAAATATATGCATATACCCCATATGGTCAGGAGAGGATTTACACAAATTAGTGGTTAAAAATTTCAAGAGTGTTGCTTCTTCCTTGGAAGGTTAGCTTTTAGTTATGTTTTTTTTTTTTTTTGTTAATATCATGAATGACCTCTAAATTATAGTGAAATATTTAATATGATACTTGAACTTTAAAATTTTTTAATATGATATTTGAACTATAAATATCTTAACTAATGAGATATTTAATTTTAATATGATTAGCTTCAAATAATAATACATAATAGACAAACAACTCTTTAACTTTCATATTAGTTAACCGATTCATAATTTAAATACTATCTTAGAGATTTTTAAAGGTTAAATACCACATTGGATATTTCACTATAATTTAGAAGTCATTCCTGAGATTAACCCCTTTTTTTTCAGTAGTGCTCTGAGTAGTTTGTCTATAGAACTCCTTAATTTTCTGTTTTGAAGTTGTACTACTTACAGTGATGATAAATTGCTTAATATATAACCTTGAACTTTCTTTTCTAGGCTGTGTTAATGGATACCTGCAATGTGTTGAATATGAGAGGATCCCTTCCAAAATTCTTACATACCAAGCATCTGATGATCCATTGTATAGCGGCTACAGATCAGTTGTACAGTCTTCAAGCCAAGAGGAATCTCTGGTATGTTCTCATATGCCAGTTTTCATCCTGTCTTCCTTATCTCCATTTTATTTATTTTGAGTTTTACTTTTCCAGCTAGATTTTGCCTTATGGGAGCCTCCACACGGTCCTTACAGGACATTCAACTATCCTTGGAGAAACTATGTCAAAGTAAGTGGTGCACTAAGACATTGTGCATTCATGGTCATGGCAATGCATGGATGTATACTTTCAGAAATTCAGGTGAGAACACTATCTCATTGCATATTTTCAAAGAAATCATTACTAGCAACATTATTACTCCGTGGGTTTTTGTTGAAAGATCCACAGAGATTACAGCTTCACCAAATATTTAGAAAATCATTTTTTGAATTATATATATTTCAAACTAATCTGTTTTACTCCTGCTAGAACTCTCTTTTTCAAAGCAGTAAACAAGGTTGCTAGACTTTTCTTTTCAGCATCAGTGCTTGTTTAGTATTTCCTTCCTCTTTAGTGTGCCCCACCAGAGTTATGGACACTCCTATCCTACAGCTGTAAAGTGCCCATAATTTCATATAATATTTAGAAGAACCGCCTTCTATTAATTTAATGCTAATCATTTGGCACGTCGTTGCGTTATTAAGCAATCAGAAGAATGGTAATAGGCTAAGAAGTTGGGTAATAAAACAAACTACGTAGTTTAGACAGTAAAAGCTTCTGTGCTTGTTGCGGACCTTTATTTGTATATGATAGGTCCTCTTCAAAGGGTGATGCCTGAGATTATTACTTTGTCAATAAGGAAGACAACAAGACCCAATCAAAATGGCAAAGCTTTGGATTTTCCAACAAAATATTTGGTTTCCACTTATGCAATGATACAAAGTTTCCTTTATTTTACTTTTCCTGTTTATTTCAACACTGGCATTATTATTTTATGTCTTCAACTAAGAAGCGAAGTGATGATGTTTAATGGTAAACAAATAGTTCCTGAAGGGCATGGAACGTGCTTGTATATCCGGAATGATAGAATAGCAGAAGCCTCTTCTAGAAGTGAGCTTGTATTTCTGAATTGAGTCCATAGAAAATTTCTAGTGATAAATCCATTATAAAATACTATCTTCTTTCCATAAAAAAGGAGTTATGGTTACCGCTTTCCTGAGGTTCTTCACAACAGTCTCTTAGCAAAATATCTTCGTTTCTCTTAGCAATCTAGGACTTATCGTGGGAGGTTAGTAGATTTATGTAATTAAATTTGCTGCTTCTCTGATGTAAACAGTGCTGTGGCTAGGATGCCACAAACAGCATCCGTAGACAATGTAAGGCTATTTTGAACTTTGCATTCTTTCACCACAGGCTGCACTTAACACTCCATTTGTTTCCAAAGCACCAGAACCAGAATTCAAAATTACGCACAAGAACAAAGCTGTTTCCTTTTCCTTTCCCTAGCAGCTACAATGGTGCATTGGCACATATTGGCTAACACTGTTCATTGACAATGGAATATTCTTTTGAAAATTTCAATGATCTATTCATCTTAGCCTGCACTTAATGCTCCATTTGTTCACCATGAAGTTAAAAAGTATACAATCTTGCAACAAGAATCCCAATTGGCCACTAGACTAAACTAATGTTGTTTCCTTTTCCTATGGTTCCTTTGTAGATACAACCGTGTGTTAGCACATATTTCCTATTGACAATTTTGGACAACATCCCTGGAGATATTAATTACATAATTAGATCTTGTAAATTTGTACATGCAGGCACCACCGGAGAAGAGACAAGCGTTTTCTATTGAGCTTCAGAGGGTTGGTAATGCAGGCGCTAAAGTGCTGCGTGAGCTTGGAGACAAAATTCAAAAGATGGAAAAGTTAAGCTCTGGAGACATACTCGGGGAAATACACGAGGCAGGAGAGGATTTGCAAATGAAGATAGACGAAAACTCATTCCTTCTAGTCAATTCAGAAAGCTGGGCAAATGCACCACAGTTCAGGGAATATGAAGAACCTGTGAGCATAATTGATGTTAAAGATGATGAGAATAAAGTGATCAAATCCCTCAGTGATATGTGGGATGTTCAGAACTCAAACATGGCCAGCATGGACTCTCGCATGCCAGATTTAATTACCTCAGAGAGTATACTCCAGAAACCATCATGGCCACGTCTCTCATTTACTGCAGATGCATTACTAAACCAACCGGAATCCAAAATGTATGAAAGTGCTAGCTCTCTATCTTTAGCAACATTCGCATCACTCTTGATTGAGTTTGTTGCAAGACTCCAAAATCTCGTGGACGCATTTCAAGAGCTTAGTGAGAAAGCAAATTTTAAGGTACCCATTGACCAACCAGTTGGAAAAGAGGTGACAGGATTTTGGAACAGACTAAGAAGTTGCTTTCACTCAAAGAACTGAAGTCTAGAAAAAAATTGGTCAAGGATCATATTTTGAGTTTCAACCGAACTAAATTGATTCGAATGCAGTTGGCAAGACAAGTTCTACATTGACTTCTGCTTTGTTGTAGCTTGCCTATCTAAACGCCCTAACTTTGCACTAATGCAGTTGGGAAGAACCTTCATGTAAAGGGTGAGTCCAGCCATTGAAATTGATTTTCTTGAAGTTTTTATCTTATTTTGTTGATGATGAAGGACAGTAACGAAAATTCAGAGGGAAAGAAAAGCACAGTAAGAGTTTTTTATTTAAGAAAAATCATTCAGTCAAAGTAGAGTTTTATTTTTAAATTGGATAAATCTTATTATTATTTATAATAAAAAAAATTAAAATGACAACTTAGAAATATAATGAAATATATGTTTATTTTCATTAGTTTGAAAGATTTTATATTTTATATTTTTTTTATTAATATATTATAGATTATAGATATTAAAGCCGTTAATAGGAAATAAAGGAAGACGAGAAAAATAAAATGTGCAATAAATTTTGAAATAAATTTATCAAATCAATTACAAATTTCACGCAAGGATCAGATTAAGAAAACTTCGGAGGGCCGATATACAATTTTACCTATTTTCTTCAAAAGGTAAAGGCACCATTGGCCCATAATCCTCTTTAACTGGGCTTTGGACGTTTCATTGCCTATTAATCTAAAATGGCCCATATCATCGGCCTCAAAATACAACTATTACAATATTAAATTACAAGAAATAAGTAATTAATTAATTACAAAAGCCGAAAATATTTCACTTTTTTTTTTCTTTTTCTTTAGAGACAGCCGGCGGGAAGGCGTCGAGATCGGTAAATTATCCTCTCCCCATTCCTCAGTTTTATCGCCTTTCTCTAACATTTTCTACTTTTGTTTTAAAATTAAATATTGATTATTCAGTTATTAATTTAGAGTTATGTCTGCCTTAGTTAGTTAATGTTGTTATCTCCCGATCTTAAAGTGCATGTCATTTTCAGTTTTCAAATTCGAATTTCATTTTCCTTGTTTTTCTTTTCAAATCGTTGTTTAATTTTTTTTTCACTTTTTGTATTTGAATTCTAGGGTTTGTTTGGGATCATGCTGTTTTAGATTGATCTATTTATCAACTTTTATCTATTTGAATTGCTTGTAAGTTCAATGAATACGGAAGTATTATTGAATTATGAGATTTAAGGATCAAAGATGAACACTGTTACTTTATATATGAAAAGATTCGTAATAAACAATTGATTATGGCTTTTTTTTTTATTTTCTGTACTTGTGCAGTCAATCAAAGTTATCGGACATTGACATACGATGTCTATGGTTGAAGAACCGTTGTATCCAATAGCTTCCCTGATTGATGAGCTAAAAAATGATGACATCCAACTTCGTTTCAACTCAATCCATAGGCTTTCAACGATTGCACGTGCTCTTGGGGAAGAGCGAACCAGGAAGGAATTAATTCCATTTCTGAGTGAAAACAATGATGATGATGATGAGGTGCTTCTTGCAACGGCTGAGGAGCTGGGAGTGTTTATTCCTTATGTTGGGGGTGTTGAGCATGCCCATGTTTTGCTGCCGCCTTTGGAAACCCTTTGCAGTGTTGAGGAAACCTGTGTAACAGATAAAGCTGTCGAGTCCTCATGCAGAATTGGATCACAGATGAGGGATAATGACTTGGTAGACTGGTTTATCCCTCTAGTTAAGGTTAGACTTTTTGTTTCTTAATTTGCTATTATTTATTTTAATGAGATTTAGCTTACAATAAAGCTCTAAATTTAAAGAGTATTAGGTGCTTAATTTATATGCCAAAAAACTGTTTTGGTGGCCTGAAATTGAGGTGCTGGAATTAGTTAAGCAAGTTATAGTAACTGCAGTCAATGAATTTTAAAAGCCCTTCAACTTTCAACTGTTTGTGACTAAATGAAAACAATAACAAATGAATTTAAGTTATAGTAAGGATAACATGGTTTATGACTAATAGATTTAGGCTCCCTTCGAATTCATAAGCACCTCCAGTGAAGGTGCAGTTACCAAAAGTTTTTGTGCCAATTGGCACTATGTTTTTTAATGTTCTATTTATTTTTAAACCTTCAGAGGCTGGCTGCTGGTGAATGGTTTACAGCTAGAGTTTCAGCCTGTGGGCTGTTTCATATTGCTTATCCAAGTGCCCCTGAGATGTTCAAAACAGAATTACGGTTAATATACAGTCAATTGTGTCAAGATGACATGCCCATGGTAAGAAAGTCTGCTGCATCAAATCTGGCGAAATTTGCTGCAACAGTTGAATATGCTTATTTGAAAGCTGACATCATGCAAATATTTGAGGATCTTACACAAGATGGTAATTTGACTGGTTAAGACATACTTGCTTGAGGGAAATCTCAGTTGTTGATAAGTAACATTATTTATCTTTCCACAGACGGATACTGCTTGTTTTCTTCTCCTCTACTGCCCTCCCCCAGCTCCTCCTCCATGCTTTTAGTAAATGAATTTTTTGCCTTTACAGACATTTCGTCAAGTGTTTTTTAGGCCATCTAGCTTGAAAACAAAACTAATTTTGTTTTCTACATGGAATGCACTTGACTAATTTTTTATTTAATTGGAAATAGACTAGCAGTCTAGCACAATTTGTTATTGAAAATTTAATATAAAGCTTCTTAGTTTTCTCCATCATAATTTTTATAACTGAGCTACAAATGTAGTGGGATGTAAACCTAGCAACAGATAAAAGGTTAGTCATCCTCCCATGGCTGCTGCAACCTGCAAGTGATTTGTGGGATATGGGCATAGGTGAGGACACCTGATAGCTTCTAAAACAGGTCCCAGCATCAGAATCTTAGGTTTATCATGTAGGAATGTTGCAATATTAGGTTCCTGATAAAAATAATATTATGGTATTTGTTTTATGGTTTTAGTAAAGCATTAGTAGCTGAACTGGTTTTTTTTTTTTTTTATAATGATTTCACGCAAGAAACTTTTATTAAATTTGTATATCAGATCATGATGCAGTTCGATTATTGGCTGTTGAGGGATGTGCCACTCTTGGAAAGTTGTTAGAGCCCCAGGATTGTGTGGCACACATTCTCCCTGTAATTGTCAATTTCTCCCTGGTATGTGTAGATGATGTATATTTCTTCCCGTTTTCATTTAATTTTATGTGAATTTTACAAATGTTGTCTTGTTTTTGTTTCTTATAATTTTCTGAGTCATGTCTTATGGAAAAATTGAACTGTTGATAACCTTATGTAAATTGTTGCCATGTATCAACGTAGTTTTATAACAGGTTATTTGTACTTATTTAGTAATGATTTAATAGTTTTTGTAATGTTGCATGATCTATGGGGTATCATACTCAAAGAACATAAAGCTATGGTTACATAATGTGGAGGTTAAGTTTAGAAGTCAGTCCTCAATTAGTGACAAAAAGATTTTATTCTATTGCATTAGCAATATTTATCATGTACTTATCATGCTGATTTGATGTATTATCATGATTTAATAAACTTTTTCTAAAAGGGTGCAGCGGTGGGAATGCTATTGATTATCCTCTGTTTTTCGTTGCATATAAAAGAAAATTTTTTTGATGATTTCAAGCATCTTTAGCGTGAAAAAAGTTTTGTTGATTCTACATGCTCTTATATTTTTTCTATTTCTTGTAACTAACAGGATAAATCTTGGCGTGTACGTTATATGGTTGCAAATCAATTATATGAACTTTGTGAAGCTGTGGGACAGGATTCTACTAGTTATTTATTTATTGCAAAGCCGCTGATGAAATATGTTAATGCTACATGGATGGAATTTTCCCCTATATCAAAATGAGGATGTAACCATATCTATCACTATCTTACACAGTTACGATGTGTTTTGGCCAGTAATTATCTTCTCTTGATTTTAGTCACAATAACCTAAGGTGATTTTTGTTATTGACTTTTTGTGTTTTGAGGACTGACTTGGTGCCTGCATAGGTTACTTTGGGATAATGAGGCTGAAGTTCGCATAGCAGCTGCCGGAAAAGTAACTAAATTTTGTCAAATTTTGAGTCCAGAACTTGCAATCCAACATATTCTTCCTTGTGTTAAGGTACAGATATTTATGATAAGAAGCTTCTGATCCTCTATAAAATTTCCTGTTAGAGAAGACACTGCTGTTTGTTTCATCTTATGTTTAATATTGGCCATCTTCTCATCTCAATGCATTGCAAATACCTTTTACAGGAACTGCCATCTGATTCTTCCCAACATGTCCGCTCTGCTTTGGCTTAAGTTATCATGGGCATGGCTTCTATCCTTGGAAAGGTAAGAACATAGAGTAATTCCTCGATGAAGAAGTACCCTAGAACATTTCAAGGTTTGTTTTACTCTGGTAATGTAGGACAAATAAATACAAGCTAGAAATTATTGATTTTACCAATAGAAATTTTGTCCTAGCAAGTTGTTTTGGACTGATATAAGGTCTTTTTATTAATAATTGTTGAGTTGTGGTTGTTTTAACAGATTTCTCAATGTTCATGCTGGATGCATCAAGATACTGGTTTAATTTGCTTTTACGGGATTATTGAATTTCATCTGATGCTCCTTGCAGGATGCAACTCTCAAGCAGCTTCTTCCAATATTTCTCTTCCTTTTGAAGGATGAATTTCCTGATGTGCGCCTTAACATAATCAGCAAGCTTGATCAAGTGAATCAGGTTTGGTATAATTTAAACCTTCACCCTGTTTTCTACGTGCTGATATGCTTTTTTTTTTCGCCACCTTGGTTATCTGGCTTTTGCTTGAGATTCCAACTTTTATCAGACAAATAAGCGGTTGAAGCAGAATGGAACCAGGGTCTTAGATGTGGCTACTAATAATGAATAGATTCAAGTTTTAATCACAACTTATTATTTGGTTTTCATGCTATTAGTGATTTCTACGTGAAGCCATTATATTGAAGTTAACTTCATTCTCTCAAGCAGCCTTCAAGTTTTTTAAGTTTAGTCTTTCTGGCAGGTTATTGGAATTGATCTATTGTCCCAATCCTTATTACCAGCCATTGTTGAGCTTGCTGAGGATAGACATTGGAGGGTTCGGCTTGCAATAATTGAGTATATACCATTATAGGCAAGTCAGTTAGGTGTTGGGTTTTTTGATGATACACTTGGTGCCCCTTTGAATGCAGTGATTGCAGGACAAGGTTTGTGTCTTCCTACCTTGCATGTGTATAGCTAAAAGTCAAACACTTTTGCTTTTATGCATTAGTCATTGCATACAAATTTTTTCTTTGCATTTTCCCTTACTTCTGT